AAGTTATTTCACCTCCCTCCATCTCAAAATTTATGTCAAAGGCCAGATAAATGAGAAACCTTTTCCTCGAAGTGCACCATAAAATCATTGAACCATATGCCCTTCCCTAGCATCGCTTTTCAATGAGACAAAAACAAATATGTTGCCCTTTGAGTATTTCCCCTACTTTCATGTGACTGAGGATTATAATTACGGGAATTTGATTTTAGTGGATTCAGTCTTGCTATTTTTGATCTGACCCTTATTCAGTTTGAGAACAGCAACTACCCCCTTCTATAGCTCTAAAATATTGTAGGTGCAAAGAACAACACAACATAAGTTTGAGAAAACCTCATAGACAAAATTAAAATGTGAAGTAGTGTGGAGTTAATCATGGAAACCCAAATGAAGCAGCCTTTTGGAGAAAGGAAAAAAAGTTCTGTTTGATGACGAAGTTGGAGTGCAGGTGCAGACCCCCAACCCAAGGGGAATTTTATGATTTACAGCCTGTTGACATCTCCAGACAGACAGGAAGCCAATGAATCGTAGTTAAGTGTGCATTTCAGGCCTGGCTGACTGTACCTTAGGCAGCTCGAAATATTTGAAAGCCAATAAAAGCAGAGATTTGGGGCTTAGTGTTGATTTTTCTGTGTTCAGTGGCATAGCTAATTTTCAACATTCCCAGATAAAGAAAAACCTCCAGGGCAAAGTTTTCTATCTCTGACTTTGTTACCAATTTGATTCAAACCTAATCTACTTTGTTTGTATTGAACATAAGGTCCAGTTTGTTGTTATTCTAATAGCGTATTTATTATTATCGTACTTTATTAAAAGAAAGCAAAAATTATGCAACCTATTCCTGCAAGGTGGCATGAATCCATCCACGATTACAAATGAAATCACATTTTCCAATTGACCTAATTTATACTTTCAAATATGTTTTCACTTAGGATTGATTTTTAATTGACTGTGACTTCTAATGTGTTAAGTTCTTCTAGCCTCACTGCCAAGTTTATGCTGTTCTCAAAAGAACATTAAACATAACCAAACTTCATACCTTGATGGAACTAAGAAGCCAAAGAAGTCTAGAGACACAGAGCAGGATTGCCTGCCAAAGTTCATCTGCTAAACTCCAGCACCGAGAAATTGGGCTGTCAGAAAAATCACGGTGCATTTTTCTATGCAAAGATGAGTCATGACATTTCCAGCAACCCAACATTTCAGATATTCTACCATTCTCGAAAATTTTATTTGAAATCAAGGAAAATTCCCTTCTAGAAATTTTATTTTAAATATTTTTATTTCATTTTCTCTTATACATTCCATCGTGTTATTTAGTTTACAAAGTGAATATTCCAACATATGACTATTTCTCCCTAGTCCAGTTGATAAAACTACAAAATTATCTTCAGCAAATAAAACCACATTTCTTTGTCCCATTCATGCTTTGCCTCTCTATTTTTCTTCTAAATGTCCTTCCTCAGACTCTCCTCTTTCACACACACTATATCTGGTATTCCCATCCATTTACTGTGTTTCTATATCCTTTAGTCTATCAGTTTCAGTCACAGAGTGCGGACAGTCGGTATATATTAAGTGAAGACATGCAGTGTCTCTCCTTCATAGCCTGGCTTACTTCACTCAGCAGTAAATCTACCGTATTCTTCCACTTTCTGTCAAAAGCCAGGATTTTGTTGTTAGTATTATTTTTTATTTTATGGCTCTGAGCCAGCCCTATAGCCTAGTGGTTAAGGGAGTCAGATTCCGCGTGGCCAGCTGAAGTTCAAATCCCAGCCCCAAGGACTTGAGAACACATGCCCCAAATCCTGCTGGGAAAGAAGAATGAAGGGAAACAGATAAGACAGTGTGGCCATGCCCCATTGCGCTCTCTGGAGAGCACACATGCCCTCTGGAAATAAAAACTTCAAAAAACCAATTTTTAAATTCTTCCATAAAGGAAATAACAATAGCACAAGTACTATTAGTCTTTCGGGACAGTTATGACACATTTTTCTATGCAAAAATATCTCGTGTGTTTTCCAACGACCCAAAACTTTGCATCTTAAAACGCCTTAATTCTGAGGTTGTTCAGATGATCTCATTTGGTGGTACAATATATTTAAAAAGTTGAAAACCTATGCAACAGAACCACAGTACTGCCTGGTACCTTTAATATGTCACTTAACTTATCAACACCAAGCTAAGAGGTTGTGTCACATGTTAGACATTGCCATGGACATCCCATGCAGGCTGACATCCGTCTAATGGTATAAACACATAGACATTAGAACTGGCATTCTGAATGAAAAGAAAGCTGAGGTTCAGAAACCCTGTCTGTCCAGCTGCCCAAGAGTGCCAGACACACTGAAGGTGTTCAACAGGACTTCTTTTTCTGACGGTCTTCCTTCTCCTCCTTCTATGATAGGATAGACCTCCAGGGCAAGCTGTTTTTACCTGCTTTTCTAACAGAAAATGAACTCCTAGAGGTTAAGTGACTTTCTAAATTTAAGGAGTAGGTTAATAGTCTAGTTAGTTCAGGCCTACACCTGAGGAGAATAATAAACAAAACTCCCTGTGAGTGCTTTTGATACCTGTCAGTAGTAATGAGAAGCTGTGTAGCGTTCAGCCTCAGGAATGATGACTAGAAAATATAAAATATGCGTATTTTAGTTTTAACAGGGTTTACAGGTATTCCAGAAGAATTTTTAAAATTTTTCCAGTCAGGCATTTTTGCATGTTTTATATTGGCACGTGTTACTGAAGTGATAGATGCATTTAGGGATCCAAGGCCATGAACCAGAATTTACATTGAGAGCTCCTGTCCTTGTGACATGAGTACAAAGGGATTTTTAAAATATATGATGATTAGTTATGAGGCGCCCGCAGTTCCAGGATGCCACATGCAGGGATGCTGTGAAGCAGACGCTAGTCTCTGCTCTTACAGAATCTGCCTCCAGCACATTAACACCAACACCCCAGTTACTGGGTATAGAAAAGGTTAGAAATACAATAAGCAGCATCTAGGACTTTTTGCTAATGATTTATACGTAACCGAAAATCCCTCCATAGACCAGGCTCTTCTCAGAGCAGAAATTGTCCTTTGAGTTGTGCCAGTGTAAACTGCTCTGCATCAAACTCTAATGTATGTTCTTCAGGTTTTAAAGAGCTCTTGACATGCAAAATCCCTCTTCACTATCTGAATTCTGAAAACAAAAAAAAATGAGAATGACAGAGTGACAGGTGAAATATTAAACATCACTTTTATAAGTGAGGGGGGCCAAGTTCACAGACACATTACAGATCTGCAACTGAACCCCAGCATTAGACTAACACGTTAGTCACCAGCAAAGGTGAGTCAGGATTGGGGTTCATAAGGAGGGTTTCTGGTGAGCAGCTTTCTTCCTAGAAGAAGAAAGATAAACTGAGTCTAGCATGCCCAGTTTATTCTCAAATGACCAATTTGATCATCCTTCTTCCTGTTGGGAAGGAGCCATGACGCTGAGAGGCTAGAAGCTAAACTAATTGAGCACCTTCTACAAGAACAAAATGTCAAGAGTAGGGAAACTGCTTTCCCCTACAAGTGCGTACTGAACACAGATGTAATGACGGTAGTTAAGACAAGCCTTTAACACAGGACAATGATTGAAGGCTTTATATGTAATGATACGTTAATATACTGTTCATCCAAAGGTACTGATATTCTGTGTGTAGATTATTTACCTTGTAGATTACTTTTTAATATCCAAGTAATGTTTTTAAATATTTTATAGATATTTTTAGTAGCCAAGGGATGCTTTCTTCTCCAAATGTCAGAGGAAAATAGCATCAGCCCAAATTCAAGAAACCAGCATTTGGCTTCTCATTTTGATCTAGGCTAGTTATGTGCCTTCTCTGCGTCTGTATTCCTGTCTGCACAAATGAAAGGGTCCCGCTGGATGAGTCTCCAAATCCCTTGCACCTTTCAAATTCTAAAGCTGCCTTGGCTTCCCCATGTAGAGAGAGTTGATATAGATCAGAAAACCAAGCTGACTTTTAAGTTTGCCTTAAGAGGAAATATGATGGGAACCAGCAGTTAGCGTAATGGCTATGTCACTGGACTCCCACGTAGTTGACCGCGGTTCGCGTCCCGGACTCGGTGGCTTAAAACTCACGCTGGGCATGTGTGCGTGCGTGCCCAAGATCCCGAGAGGAGAATGGAGGAGAAGGGATTGCGGCGTGACCATCCACCCTGGGGGTGATTTCTCGCATTCTGCCTCTCTCTGTCTGTCTGGCGAGCGCACGCGCCCTATAGTGAAAAAAAACAAAATGAGGAAATATGATTATGGGAGATAAGAATTTGAGAGCAATGGCCAACTGTGTTTTAAACTTAAACGGCATTTGTAATATAACGCACACAATTTTACACGTATTGTTTGTTATTCTAAGTCATTACTCTGTTCCCCTTTTGTTCATTTTCTTTCCACTAACAGTACATATGCTTTCATTATGCTGCTCCTAAGAGCGCAACCTATGAGTCCATGTAAGTCATACCCCAATCCTGAACCTAGGCCCATCGAGAAATACATGAACAGTACATTTTTTTTCTTTCTATACCATTTTCAGATGTATATTTTAGACTATTACTGCTTTGAAATGTTATTCTGGCCCTTAGATTTTATCTTTATCATCATTAACAAGCTTGTATTCAAACTTCAATTTAATTCTAGTGCTAATATTAAAACTGGTAAATGTGAAAGCGGAGGACTAAATTTTACATTGTTATTCATGTTATTGACTCATTAACATACTATACTGAGTATTTTTAATTGTAGTATGTTATCATGTGTGTGTTCATATTTTTTCTAAATATACATACACGACAAGTAAATATACACACTTATGGATGTGTGTGTATATACAGACATCCCTTACATAAAAGGACGCTAATTCAAGAACCCTGTGGTATTCATAATCAAGTGTAATATGTAGTAATTGCATCATGGTAAATTACGTCTGTATAATAATGTGGTATCTTTTGAAAGGTATGGTGTGGAGCCTCCTGGTTTGATAAAATTGGAAAAAGAGATTGAACAAGAAGAAACACTTTCTGCGCCTTCTCCGTCACCCTCTCCTTCCTCAAAGTCTTCTGGGAAAAAGAGTACTGGAAACTTACTTGATGATGCAGTGAGTAAAACTGGCCAGACTTCTTACCAGCAGTCAATCTTTGAACTACAAAACACACTCTGTATAACCTCATCAGTCTAACCTTTATCTGTTTCAATTTTCTTGGCATTTACTTTTTTAGAGTTTATTTTCTTTTTCCATGAGAGAACCAGATAGCAACCCGCTACCTCCCATAGGGAATGGTCATACTGCAATCCCTTCTCCTCCTTTTCTCCCTCTTTTTGGGACTTTGGGCACACACACACATATGCCTGGCATGTTTATCAAGCTAGAAGTGTTTTAATAATCACAGTAAATGGTTTCTAGGTATATGAATTAAAACGCTCAGACTGGGCCAGCCAGTGGCATGGTGGCCTAGGTGTCTGGATTTCAGGTGGCCGACTGTGTATTTTGAGTCCTGGATCCAGGGGCATGAAAACCATGCTGAGCACACGTGTGTGTGTGTGTGTGTGTGTGTGTGTGTGCATGCCCAAAATCCTGGTAGTGCACACCCCCAAGGGGGTTTCATATCCTCTCTCAAACTTCAGCCAGATAGGACCATGCGCACATGTGTGCCTCACGCAAACAAGGAGACCTTGGGATGTGAACCTGGGCCTTCCCGTGTGGCCTCAGCACTGTTACTGCCACACCACTGCAGCTATCCATCCTTGGAGTTTATTTTAAACTCCTATGAAAAGGTTCACAGTCCTACAGTTCATGTTGAGATCCAAAGTTGAGTCAGTTATTTTATTTGTTCAAAGTGTCACTTAATTCTGCAAAGCACTATCTAAAATGTAGGATACTAAGTTAACTTCCTGAAAATATTACTTGGAAACACTTCAGTCTCATTGTTATTGGGTCTTGATTCCTGTTTCACAGAGAAGTTGTCTGAGGCACACGATTTTGAGGATTATTGGAGAAGAGAAAGTGCAGTCGTGGTGGAGATGGTAACTGCTGTTATTGTTGGCCAGGGTCTAGCGTTCGCTGTTTTTCAAGAGCTCTCATATCTGAAAGGCAGGCTTCTTACTGAGAAAATGGAAGCTCTGAAAAATCCATATTGTATGCTGTAAAGATGTACAGTGATTAAGTACAAAGTGAAAAAAGAAGAAGTTGAGTAACCTGTTAGGAAGAGGAGAGGAGAAGGGAGGCACTTAGATTTTAATAACTTTGACTCTGGGGTCTTTCCACTAAGCGTGATACTTGAATAACAATTTCTGGCAACTTGGAAATTTTGTTTTGTTTTGTTTGTCTTAATTTTCCAGAGGGAGTGTATACTCACTGAAGAGAGAGAGAGAGAGAGAAAGAGAGAGAGAGAGAGAAAGCATTCCCCTCTGCACAGGGAGTGGTCATTACTGCAATCCCTTCTCCCCTTTTCTCTCTCCTGCGGGACTTTGGGCACATGTGCACACATGCCTGGCATGTTCCTCATGCCAAAAATGCTTTTTTTTTTTTTTTTTGCCATAGGGCACATGCACTCACCAGAAAGACAGAGAAAGAGAGACAGAAAACAAGATATCACACCCCCTCCCCCCCAGAAGGGATGGTCACACCGCAACCCCTTCTCCTCCATTCTTTTCTTGGGATCTTGGGTACACACACACACATGCCTGGCGTGGTTTTAATTAACTGGTCTGGGACTTGAACCGCAGTCGACTACATGGGAGTCCAACGACATAGCCATTACACCATCTGCTGGTCCCATGTTATTAATACCTTATAATTACAGTAAATAATGTCTATGTTTATGAAAGCTAATTAAAACTCTCAAGGTGGGCCAGCCAGTGCCGTGGTGGCTCAGGTGTGTGGATCCCACATGGCTGACTATGCATTTGGAGTTCCAGATCCAGTGTCTTGAAATCCATACAGGGTACTTGTGTGCACGTGCCCAAAATCTTACAAGAGGATGGAAGGGAAGAGATTGCAGTGTCATCATTCTCCACTGGGCTTGCTTTCTCACTTTTTCTCCCTCTGTCTCTCTGTCTCTCTCCAGCAAGGGCATACACCTACACACCCTGGCAAATGAAAAAAGCAAAATAAAGCTCTCGAGTTCTCCCCATTGCCGATGAAATGGTTCTTGGTTATAAGTAGCGTTTATGGAGTTGTAGTTGCTTATGAGTGCTTTAGAAGTGGTAATGCCAGAGACATTGGCTGAGCTATGTCTCATGAACATGGAAAGAATCCTTTGAAGCTAGCGCCAACCAGTGCCATCTGTAGAGTAGGCAGGACTGGCTTGGAGGGACCGTGGGCCCGCAGCTGGGAGTTTCATTCTCTGGGTCTAAGCTGAAAAGAGCTGGCGAAATGACTGACATTATAGAATACAGAAAAAAGGATTCTCCATCTTTTGCTTTCCTCTTTGTGATACTATAAACTATGTTAGGTTTAGATAAAGCAGAAATAGAACAATTTGTCTGAGTAAGAACCCTTCTTTTTCTTTCTTTCTTTCTTTTTTTTTCATTTATAATTTGCAAGATGTTTGCTTGTCAGGCAGAGACAGAGACAGAGAGAGAGAGGGAATCAGAGAAAGAATCCCCCCCCCCCACCCTGTCACTGTCATGTCACATGCCTTTCTCTTCCATTTCTCTTTTCCATTGGGATTTGGGGCACACATACACACAAACATGGCCTATTTTCTTCAAGCCATTGGGGCTGGGATTCAGACCACCCTATCATGGAATCTGGCTCCCTTAATCACAAGACCATGAGACCAGCTAGAGAACTTTTATTTTTCTGAAGGGTAGTAAACTTAAACTTAGCTGTAAAGTAGCTTAGCCAATACTAGTATTAGTTTCTTTTGGTTAACAGTTTAGTCCACTCAGGACCTAAATAGGTCCATGTTTTTATTTAAAACTGCCTAAAAGGGTTCTAAAATCACTGTTTTTAAGACCAGTTAGATGCTAGAAAGACAGAGAGAAAGGGAAATGAGAACTCACTCCCAAATTGGGATGGCCATCCTGAAATCCCTTCTCCTCCATTCTCCTCTTGGAATTTTGGGCATGCATGCACACATGCCCAGCATGATTTTCATGCCAGCAGGTCCAAGGGTCCAAGACTGGAATCGCAGTTGACCACCACCACTTCACCTGCTGGTCCCTGTTTAAATCTATTTTTAAACACTTTTTCCTCTTTTGAAGTTCAGGTTGTAGTACCTCCTATAAAAACATGATTTATTTATTTATTTATGTATTTATTTATTTATTTATTTATTTATTTATTTATTGGCATCTCATCTCAGGAAAAACTGATAATTGACTCCTTACTGTTTTGGGAGTTTGATGTGTTTTAATGAGGAATGTACTTCGGGGAGTATAAATATTCATTTCTCTCCAGGTACAAGTTTTGTTCTCAAAATCAAGGATCATATTTTGTTAATATATATCTATCTAGTACCAAAATAGGTCATTAAAGTTGAAAACACCTTCTTCCTTGCTCTATTTTTATGGATTGATCATGTGCTTTGCAAACAATTCACTTTTCAATTTTGCTGCAGCTTTGCAGAGAGAAGACATGCTGCAACTTGAAGCCCTTTATGTGAACCCAGAAGTAGCTAGAGCAGTTCCCCTTCCCAGCTTGACTCCTACCTGGCTGTCCTTCATCCTTGAGAAGGAGAAAAAAAGGAAAAGGGGGAGAAGGTGGCAAAACAGCTACCAAAGGAATATGGAAGACGTTTTACTCGTACCCCAACTCAGAACAAGAGAGGGAGATGGAGACTGTCTGTTAAACACCAAGGCAGTCACTCCATGGTTGTTCTTTGCTTCTCAGGTTCTAGTCTCTCAGCTGGAAATAATGGAGGGGTTTCAGGAGACCTATAGGCCCTCTTGAGAGTTTACCAGAGTACGGGAACATAACCATTTGTTTAGGTAAGGGATTTAATTGAATGTAAGAAATACGTGCAATGGATATTTCTGTACTACTCCAGCCAGGACCTATGTTCTACAAGTCTTTTAAACGGGCATTTTTTAGTAGTGTTTAATCAAGCACTAACACCACCAGATATCTCATTGGGGAAAAAATTCCATGGTTAAGTTAATTTGAGAAATACAACTTATTCTAGTCCCTACCTAGAGTTTGGCAATGCACTTTGGCATATCAAAGGCTCTGGTGAATTCCACAATAAGATCTTGTTTAACCTGGAATTTTCCACTTATTTGACCACAAAGGTCTCCTACAGTCTCCTTTATTCTACACTTGGGAAAATTGCATTGAACTATTTGCATTCAGTTAAAGAGAGAGTTTTTCACTGAAGTGTTCTATTTCATGGGTAGTGGAGAGGAAAGAAAAGTAATTTGAACTTCAGTAATGTTTTAAATCAGAGCTTCATGGCAGTGTCTTCAAAAAGTTCATGGAAAAGGCATATTATGAAAAAAAAAATCATGCCTAGATTTCCCAATTTTTTCACATTCAAATAAACTCAGTTTTATTCCACTTTCCACAAACTTTTTGAAGCCCCCTTGTATAGCTAATATAAAAACGGAATAGTTTCTATGGCAACTGCTGCACTGCATCTATGTAGCAGTGGGGAGTTGAAATTAATTACCTATATATGTGCTTTAGAATAAGGATGTAAAATTGCTTGCAGTTTTCCTCTGTTTAGTTATTAATATTGACTATTTGTACTCTGGCAAAATGATTATCTATGAACCACTGAAAAAGAAAAGGAGGAGGAAGAAGAGGCATAAAAGAAGAAAAAACAGTAAAAGAAGTAGAAAAGAAAAATGTTAAAAAGCATGAGAAGCAGACGCATGTTCAGATATAATAATATTCCAGTGAAGATTTCAACAATAAGTGCTGGTTTTGAAACCTTTTCTGTCTCCTCATATTTCCTTGGGGAACTTAGGGAAATAGTGGGGAAAAATACAACAATGACGTGACCTTTTATGTGGATAATACACCCCACCTTCTTTAATCAAGATATCATGAAAGAAACGCAGTGGAGTTCATTCATATGAATTTATTCTCCAGATGTCCTCATAGAGTGATTCAGCTGTGATGAAACAGTGGGGTCAGGCTTAGTTCTCTTTGCATCCCCTCCTGTTGAGCTAGTTCCCACACAAAGAGTTGAATACAGTTCTAAGAAACCATTCTTACTTTCTTCCTCTTCTCCATCAACTTCCTCAGTCTGGGGATGAGAGATAGTATAATTCTGAGTAATCAGGCTCCTCTTGAAATCCCATTTCAGCAGAACACTGGCTGGGTTCCTAGCCAAAAAGAGAACACCTGCCAGACTGACTTATCCCGAGGTAATGTAAGAAGCAGAGATGTCATCGGTCACTGTTGACTGAACAATGCATTTCCACTGCCCACAGTCTGGCCTTGTCTCTTCCACTTCTGCCTCCCCTTCACATACCACTACAAAAAAAGCCCTCGATTGTTGAAATCAAGTCCATTTTCAAAGCATTAGAAAAGGGCAGGCCACTTGAGAAAATGTTTCTTGTATTTTACTTCATTCTTTACCAGCAGTTTCTGTGTCTCCTCTAAGAACACTGTAAGGTGAAAATACTTTCCATAAAGACTTAAGATTGTCATTTCTTAGCAAAAAAAAAAAAAACAAAACAAAGCAAACACTCAAACACCAATTTACTGTTTGTTCAATTACTACATGGCAACAAAATTGTGTCTAGCATGAACTTCCCAGTGATTAGGCCTCAGGGCATGTGCTGTTTTGATGCTGTCTATCTGGATTTTCTGACGGTCACCAAAGTCCTCCTCTCTCTCTTCCTCCTTTCCTTCATCCTTGCTTTTTTCACGGAAGCCTCCCTTACTTTGGTGCTAAGGAAGATTGTACCTCTTCTAGTAAAAACATAAAACATAATTTGTATATACATGAATATATTCACATTTGTAATTTTTTTTAGAGATTTTTGCTATAGGGCACATTCACTTGCCAGAGAGACAGAAAGCAAGAAATCACTCCCTTAGGGAGGATGGCCATGCCACAATCTCTTCTCCTCCATTCCCCTCTTGGGATTTGGGGCATACATGCACATGTGCGCAGGGTTGAGTTTCAGGCTGCCAAGTCTGGAACTCAAACCATGGTTGCCTGCGTAGGAGTCCAGCGCCTTAACCACTTTACCACCTTTGACCCCACACATTTGTATTTTTATCCACATATAGAAAGAGATATGTGCAAAGAAAACACTAAAAATAACATATATAGATATACCCATTGGCTTTATGACCCCATGCCCACCCTAGAGTTCTATTGTCAGTATTCCATTTGAGACCATCTTTTCAAAATATCTCTAGGGACAGAATTCTACTAATGCTAAAGTCATTGGGGGGATATATGTGTGACCAAGTATAAGACAGTGGGACTAAGATATGTGTTAGGTTGTTCCTTATTTTTCATTGAAAACCATCTCTAAGGTTCTTTGAATCGACTCTCATTCTGTTCCGGCATTTCCTCTCTGTGTCATGTATGGATCCCTGTTTTATTTATCTATATTCATTTATCTATTTAATATGCCTTTATTGAAATCTTATTACATACTTTTAAGTCATTGTGCTTGATATCAAGGATTGAAAAATGTAATGAATTGCTATCTTTACCGCCAAGGAATCCGTTCTAGCAAGGAGACATTAAGGTTAACCGATAACTGAGATACAATATGCTATGATAAAAATAAGTACCAAGAATCATGGGCTCAAATGTTGGAAAATTTAGGGATGACATAGGAACTGACTAGAGTGTATATGACAAAGTTGGTTTTCTTGTTCTTTCCTTACTGAAATAATGTTGGTTCTTCCTTATATGACAATGAGGAATAACTGTCTCGTTGTCAAGATAAGTGTTATTTCGGGACTTTCCCCTCTCATACTGTTTTTCCTTCAGTATTTTATGTTTCTCTCTTTATGCAACCTTTCTTATCCTAGGGAAACTAAGTTGTGTATTCTTTTATACCAGCATGCAAGTGAGTTCATGTTTTCCTCTTCCAACTCTTTTTGCCTAGCAGAGGTGAATTTAAGTCAAAATTGTATATATATAGATATATATATACATACACACTTGTATATATATGTATGTATACACAGACACAGACACACACACACACACACACACACACACACACACACACACACACATATATATAAACAAAACTCTGGATACCATGACATCTTTGTGGAAGATCTTGGACGCCAGAATCTACGTTAATGGTCCAAAGTCTTGGAGCCCTTGGAAGAAACTGATGTAAATACAGCCTGATTAAGGAGAAATGACCTAACCTACTCTGCTCTTTCAGGTGAAACGAATTTCTGAAGATCCTCCTTGCAAATGCCCAAACAAGTTCTGTGTGGAGAGGCTCTCTCAAGGGAGATACCGAGTGGGAGAAAAGATCCTCTTCATTAGGGTAAAGTTTTACTTTCCACTTGTTGTCTTGCTTTATGAGAATATTCAGAATTGAGTTGAGGGTGGTCAGGGAAATCTAACAGTAACTAACAGGAACTTCCTCATGGAGCTTGCAGTTGGATTGGAGATGCAAAATATGAGTGTTTTCTAAAGTAGCATAGGTTTACTACTGAAAGCTAAAAAAAATGAAATATCCTTTCTTTTGGAAATCATAGAGATCAAATATAACCAAAAAACCTTTCATTTGTAATCCGTTTTGCTAGTAATCAAGAGAACTTGACTTCTCAAAATAAGTTTGTAACTTTGGTAAGACTAAGAGTTCTTTCACAAAACAACAAAAATGAAAAATACAGCAGGGATTCTCCTAGAAATATGCAGTTAATATGTACTTTACTGCCTTTTATTTTACTCATTTCCTAAAGAAATGATTCAAAGGACTGTATTTGTTTCTCATTTGACTAAGTTAAAAATGTCTTGCTCGTTATTTAGTAGAACAGAATAATTCTAATGTGTCCCTCTAATACAATCAGTGCATATTCTTACAATACACAAATCACTGATGGTCTAATGATATTTTTTTCTATGTAAAGTTTTCAAATTTCAACTTTTGACTTAAATTTATTTATATGACAGGTTTTTTTAAAAAGGCTCTGCAATGTGTATTTGTTGAAAAGTATCACTTGCATATAGTCTTAAAACATGTAAATCATTTTGTATTTTAACCTAATTTTGAGCCGATGTACGTTTGATACTTTCCCTCTAACATAACCTAGTATCTTCACACTTTTGTATATATCTGGTAGGCATGTTAATTTGTGTCTGGTTTTCCATATTTAGTACATTGTCAAGGGCTGTAGTGCTGTGTTCATGTAACATTAAGTATATGCAGTATTTAATATGTACTTTTCTTTATATTTCACATTTCTTTTCAGGAAATGATTTCCTTTTGGTAACATATCTCCATGTGTTGTTATAGAAAAACTGAGGTTTGCATCAAATTCCTAGTGATAATATTTTCATTTAATATTGGTTAATACATTAGAAATCTTGTGTATTCTTGGTTTTGTACTTCTAATATTCCAGGAAAACTTACAGAAAGAGAGTTAGCCATGATGTGGTTATTCACTCATCGGCACAATAAATTACCATACTGTGCAGCTATGACATGTGTTTTAGAATAGTGTTTTAATGAACTTTGTTACTCATTTTCTTGATTTTCATACTGTTCATATACATGTTTACTATTTTTTTTTATTTGCAAGAGGGTATATATATATAGAGAGAGAGAGAAAGAGAAGAAAGCACCTCCTTAGTGGGGTCTGGTGACACCACAGTCCCTTCCCCATTTCTCCATCCTGCTGGCATTCTGGGCCTGCATGCACATGCATCCTGTGTGTTTTTCAAGCTGCCCTAGATGGTTTGGCTGTGATTGGCTATGTGGGATCTGATTCATAATCACTAGGCTTTTGGATGGGCCCCCATTTTACCATTTTTAAATAACAGATTTCACTTGAAAATGGACCCTTAAAGTAAAAAAAATATATATTTTATTTATTTATTTATTTTTTTGAGAGGTTTTTGCTACAGAGCGTGTGTACTCGCCAGACAGACAGAGAGAGACAGAGAGACAGAAAGTGAGAAATCACCCCTCAGAGGGGATGGCCACGACACAAGCCCTTCTTCTCCATTCTCCTCTTGGGATCTTGGGCACACACGCACACGTGCCCGGCGTGAGTTTAAGCCACCGGGCCCGGGACACGAACCGTGGTCAACTACGTAGGACTCCAGTGACATAGTCATTATACTAACTGCTGGTTCCCCCCAAAATTTATTTTTAAAAGGAAACTTTCTCTCACTGTCTAAATCAGAAACCAACTATGTGTCATAAAAAGAAAGTATCTGTGAGCATAGACTATATATAATATATAAATTAATCACTGAAATTCTTATCCATTAAAAAATATTTTTGAAAGGAAACTTTCTACCACTGTTTAAATTGGAAAACAAAACCATTTGTCGTGAAAGGAAAATATCCATGAGCACTAAAATTCTTATCTATTGTCTTGTTATGAGTCCACTTTCACCCTGATAGAGTGAAGTGGTTCTGAAAGGGTCTTGCCTTTCTCTGGTGACCCAGGGAGGAGCAGGAATTGAGATTTCCCAGGCAGGCCCAGTGTTCCTCTCATTGGGCATCTTCTCCTATTTTCTCTCCTCCTTTGGCTACACAAACTAAAAGTGTCTCAGTGATGTGCATGTACTCTGGCTAGCACTCTGATCTGTGGCAGGGACTATATTTAATTGTCATTCTGTTCTCATTATAAGAAACTGGCAGTTATTATTCAGAAAAAAAATCAGAAGTATCCAGTCACTTTTCAAATAGCCATGTGGTGGTGACCACTAGTATTTTAATGGTTTGTCCTAGTCCTTCTCTGCTAACAGAACTATCTGAGCATGGCTGATTGGTAAAGAAAGTAGGTCTATTTACAAATTCACAATTCTAGTGGCTGGAAAGTCTAAAGTCTTAGGCCTCCAGCATGGCCAAGAAAAGCGCAGAGAATGGTGAGCACGTATGGAGAGAAAGAGAGAGAGAGATCTCCTGAAGAATCACTCTTTTATTACAACCAGCTCTCACGGTCTCTTCATTGCAGCTCTGTATTTCTTCAGGTTGCATTTTTAATGTGGGCATATATTAAACTTAGTTACATGTTTTTTGAGGCTGCCTAATATGGTCATACTTAGCTGAATTTATGTACCTTTGATATGTGTATATAATGAAATATGCCTGGTGTCTTAGCATTTGTCCCCTAGTTTTCTGTCCATCCTGAGAGCAGCAGTTTCTTCCCATGTTCATAATGACCCTGTCAGGTACAAAGAACAATTCAGCATCACTTAAATCTATTAAGACTGTCAACTTCTCTCTTACTTAAAGATAATGCAGTTACCAATTCAATTTAACAAAACACGAACTCAGAAAGAATTACCACTTAAAAAGTCATAGACGCAAGAGTATCTTTTTTAAGTATCTGTGTCTAATACAATTCCTCTTGATCTACTCTTCTTGATATAAGCCAGAGTTTACCATTTTATTTCTAGGCACTTTTCAAGGTTGACTGACACCACCAGTCCCTTTTTAATGTATAATTTTATAATTATTTATGCATATGAACATACCTTCTCCTTATACATTTAAACTGATACAATAATGAACAATAAGAATTAAAAAAAAAAAACAAAACAGAAATTTGTGCAGATTTCAAAAGAAAGTCCAGGAAGTTAGTTTCTACAGAGAATATATTTGCCAAGCCTATGTTGTCTGTGAATTTCTAGAACAATATATGAAAAGATACTCTCAATACCTGGATATCTAATGTGTACTTAGTAGATGCATCTACATGTTATACAGACTTTTTTATGTGCACATATTGATGTGGAAGAGCAATGCTAGTTTTTGTCCACAGCTCATAAAGAATTAGAGATGTGGGGACCAGCAGGTAGCGTAATGGCTATGCTGCTGGACTCCCATGTAGTCGACTGCAGTTTGAGTCTCGGACCCAGAAGCTTAAAACTCACACCAGGCACGTGTGCATGCATGCCCAAGATCCTGAGAAGAGAATGGAGGAGAAGGGATTGCGGTATGGTCATCCCCCCGGGGGGGTGATTTATCACTTTCTGTCTCTCTGTCTCTCTCTGTCTGTCTGGCGAGCACATGCGCCCTATGGCAAAAAGCTCTCCAAAAAAAAAAGAATTAGAGACGAGGACACAGAGAGGAGATAGCAAAGTGGAGTTTATTTTTATTTTTGGAGAGATTTTTGCTCTAGGGTACATGCGCTCACCAGAAAGATAGTAAGTGAAAAATCACCTCCCTAGGAGGGATGGGCACGCCACAATCCCTTCTCTTCCAGGGATCTTGGACATGCATGCACATGCATCTGGTGTGAATTTGAAGTCACCAAATCTGAGACTTGAACTGCAGTTAGCCACGTGGATGTCCAGTGATGTAGCCACTACACCATCTGCTGGTCCCCACAAAGTGTAGTTTATTAAGAGAGGGAAGGAAAAACAGAATTCCCAAGTGCAGAGTGAGTCTTAATGGGTCGCCAAAGAGGAGCTGGGGTGGTTTTTTAAAATTTTGGTTTGGAAGGGCTTTGTCCAGTCTTGTTCTCAGGAGGGGCTTGAATATATGTGTTCTCTTTATGGTGGAGGTCACATGCTAGATGGATGGGTCTGGTTATTTTTCCTAACTTTGAAGTGGGCATAAAGGTCATGAAACTCTCTTTGTCTAAAAGTTTTGGGTCCTAAAGACCACTGGTTGATGGTCACAAGAATTCTTGCATCATTTAGGCTTATCTCATAGTTTCCATTGGTCACAGGTACTTTAGATTCCAAAGTTAGGAGTTGTCTGGCTCTTGGTCCCTGACTCTAATTATCCTATGTATGATCTGAAGGGGAAGTTACAATTGCTGGTTCTATTTGGAGTCCACCCACAGGCAAAAGCAAATAAGGAGAAAGAAACTAGATTTCTGAATATGCTAGATCAGCTGGATGGCTTTGCATAATCTTCCCATCATCTTTCTACCATAACTTTTCTAGTGCCCTTAGTTACATAAATAACTTCTACCCCAATATAATGGTGCTTCAAGAAATTCATGGAAAAATGGAATTAGAATATTATGAGTTTATTGGGCCAGCAGATGGCATAATGGTTACATCGCTGTACTCCCATATAGTCAACTATGGTTCAAGTCCTGGACCTGGTGTTTTAAAACTCATGCTGGGTGCATGTGCATACATGCCTGAAATCCTGAGAGGACTATGAGGGAGAAGTGATGGCAGTGTGACCAACTCCCCAGGGGGTGATTTCTCACTTTCTGTCTCTCTGGCGAGTACATATACCCTAAAACAAAAATCTCTCTTAAAAAAGAAATTATGAGTTTATTTTGGTGTAAGAAGCTTTTGAAATCCATGCACTGTTTTTCTACAATGCATGTTTTCCACGAACATTTTGAAGACTACTTGAGTATCTTCATTTGCAGGTGGGTCATAAATCTCTACCCAAATATAAAAAACCCTGCAATACAAAATCCTGAGGATTTTAACTGTGGTTTTTAGGCAAATATCCAATAATCCCCTGCCAAATGGGAATTCTCTTGTTTCTAGTTTATCAAAAGCATTATCTCATAGCCAGATTTTCCCCTGTAACTGTCAATGAACAGCATTGTTTTATGAACTATCAAATGCAGCTAATTTTTATGACTATTGTGCAGGTACCAATTTACTGTCTTCTAAGGTAAATGTATCGCAGTGGCTTTTGAATTTGGACAGTGATATTGAAACCTCCTTGCCAATTTCTGCAGTCACAGTTTTGGATATTCCTGTTCAGCCATGATAGAATGTCTTTGAAATGTGAACTGATGGCTCCCAGGTCTAATGAAATCTAGTGTCTTGATTTTGGGAAGAAGGGAAGAAATTTTCTCATGTTCTTTTGTTCAATCATTTGATATCTACCAAGGCTTTGGCTATCAGAAGTCAGTTGCAATATAAATCTTTATGAGCCTGTAGGAAAGAACTTCAGAAGTCTGTCATCAATGCCATAAACATGAATACACTATCTGGCTTATCAGCCCCAACCTGTTACCCATAGAACATGTAAATAATCTAAGGTGCTTTCCAAGTTAGCAGCATCTGCATTATCTGAGAACTGTTAAAATGCAGATTATTGGACATTCCCCACAACTCTCTGAATCTGCACCTCCGAGGGTAGGGACCTCCTGCTCATTTTGTAAAACCAGCCCTCTAGGTAGTTCTGGCATGCGCTGATATTTGGAAACCACCAATCTTTACTGAGAAAGAACTAAGTAGCGGAAGAGATTTGTTGAATTAACAACCCAATTGGAAATCATTTGAACATCTGATCATAAAAAAGCATTAACATTCAGGTACTAAAAATATCATTTTGAAGATTTCTAATGCTTAAGATATAATGTTAAGTGGAAAAATTGGCATTTAACTTATACTTACATATAAAAATAGCTCTGGTAGAAATAATACATCATTTTGATCAAGTCTTGAGAACAGAAGTAATTTATGAGGACTCAGAAATATGAGTTACAATTTCTTTTCTTTTCTGCATCTATTTCTGATGATTTTTTAAAAATGAATGCCTTAAAAGAGGTCAGCAATGTCATATAGTTATAAACTTGAGAATGAATAAGAGGCCCACTGAAAAGCATCAGATTAATGTTTAATGGTCCTTTTCCTTCTCATCTTTTGGGAAAAAGTAAGTAAGTTTACTGGAGCTGTGGTTTTTATTTAGACTAGGGAGGATTTTCCATTTTGTTCTGAATTTATGGGATATTTTTCCTTGGCTGAAACTCTTCTATTTTTTCCTGGTACTGTTTTCTCTCTCCTATTTTGAAACTCACACAGGTTATTTAGGATGAGCACTAGGAAACATGCGAAGATTTTACTGTCTGGATAAGGTGGCTTTTCATTGCAAACCCTATCAGTGAGGCACATACTCAGTTTTCTATTAATCATCGACACTGACAATCTGGTGTCCCATTGACTTAGAGCTCAAGGTTTAGTGACATAGGGACCAGCAGTTGGTGTAGTGGCTATGTTTCTGGACTCCCATGTAGTCAACTGTGGTTCAAGTCCTGGACCTGGTGGCTTAAACTCACTCCGGGCACGTGTGCGTGCGTGCCCAAGATCCCAAGAGCAGAATGGAGGAGAAGGGATTGCGGCGTGCCTATCCCCCCTGGGGAGTGATTTCTCACTTTCTATCTCTCTGTCTCTCTCTTTCTGGCGAGCACACGTGCCCTATAGCAAAAACCTCTCCAAAAAAAAAAAAAAAAGATTTAGTGACATAAAAGTTACTAAATATAATAAACTGGTTCGTGCTTATGCATGAAATGGATGGAAATGGCTGGGATGAGTAGAACTGCTGTGAGGTTAGATGACAACATGAACAGTTTCTGTGATGCTCTGGTTGTAGGGCTTTCTGGCAAAATAGCAGTTGGTACAGTCATATGCTATGTGATGGCTGACTTTAATGCCTCATTCTTTGGACACTCATGTGATGAATGCCTTTTTACTTAATTACAGTTGAAGGGGGTGGATGTAGTGTTCAACCCCAGGAAGCACAACCCTCTGTATGGCTAAGCAATACTGACTTCTTTACCTGAGGTTTCTTGGAGCAGTCAATATACTAAACGATATATATTCCTAGTAGAAAATATACCGTGTAGCATTTTCCAAATGTATTTAACCATAGAAATGGTCTCCTTCCCATCTTTTATTCTCAGAGAATCATCCTGGGCTAGGAGGTTGTGGAAACCTATTTGGGGAAAGATATTATCATTTAATTCAAATTTAAAAAATACAAAAAATTCCCAACTTAGAGTTAAATTCAGATGAAAGTTTTCTACATTTTGCCACAGTTAAAACCCATGTATTTTAAGGTACTAATAAGGAATATTGAATTTTACTCTTTTTGCTTTCAAGTTCTGTTGGGAAATGATGATTTTCAAGGAAATAACTGGAATATCTTTAAAGCCAGGGTATGAAAGAGAGACATTGTATGTCTCCACTTAACATTTACCAAGTGTCTACACTCTATGGCAGAAACGGAAAGATTAGAGGATATAGAAGCATGGAAAACAGTTATGGATACTGGAGACAGCATGGGAAGAGGTTAGAAGAAGGGGGAAAGTTTGACATTAAAAAAAATAAAAATATATTTCCCCCATATTTTCAGTATAGTGTTGTTGATATCTTTTGTAGATATTTTTAAGTGAATTAGTATTATTTCAAAGCAAATTCATAGCAGACCTTCGCAGTTGGGTAAGACCATCAAGATTCTGTGTTTTCCCACAGCTGAAGGAATGTGACTACTTGCTGAGCCTAAGGAAAAGACAATGAATAATTTAATTGGAACTCAGCAAAAGGATTTGCAGTGTTACAGTTACTTCCTTTGAATTACCTTTGAATTAAATCATCACAGAGCCATAGAAAGGTCACATGCATTGTTATTGACTCTGTAATTTCTTCTTTACGGGGAAAATTCTTCAGGATTATGCCACTGTAGTAAAAATCAAGTCATTGTAACAAACCAAGCAAGAGAGGCACAGCTCGGTTGCTATAGCAACTGAACCTGGCAATGTCTTCTGGGACCTGCTCTGAGGAAAGGTCCAATGCTAGAGAGTAATATTATGTTCTTTTCTCTTATGACACACACTGATTTACTGTGAGTACAAAGTAGTATGGCGCAAATTACACACCTTGCCCGGTGATGAGAAATGGGCCGTTGTGTAAAAATGCAAAGGAGTTTTAAACAAGTAGCACAGAGATTAAAACCTCCATTTGTCTTAGTGGAAACGTCACAGGAGCAGCCACTACATGGCAGACACTCATTTTTTTGAACACATATGCATACATCCTCCCTTCAATTTAGGAATTTTTGACAGTGGTGATTCTGATCTTAAAACTATATAATAGTGGATGTTTGTTTCTAGGGAAAAAAATATGACCACGTTGACTTCTGGTCTATGCGAAATCTCAGCTATGCCTTATAGTTCTAATCCGTGGTGAGAGAAACAAGGCTACTATTAACACGTGGCTATTTCTGAACTCCATCCCTCTCTTTACCCAACTGCTTCCAAACTGAGCAAGAATTCAGGAAAGTCACTCAATAGCACTGAAAATATATTTATATGCTTTAATTTCAGTTTTTAATTTTTTAAATAATGCTTTTGCTCTCATTAATTACACTCATTTGTCATTTATTCATGTTCACTGAGGCTGAGCTAAAAACACAATGTAATTTACACTTTGGTAAAATATCTCTCAAAGGACTTTGCAAATGTTAATAAATCCTCTCCACCCTTTTTCTCTGAGAACAGCTTGCATCTTTGATGAACATAAAAGAAAGAAGTAATAACTAGCCATTGCCAAAAAGAATTCAACTGAATGCGGTATTGTCTTTCTGAGTGATCCTTTGAGGTGGAAAACCCTTTACTAGAGAGAACTGTAAACTAGACTTTGTCTAGGATTCTAGCCGGTGCTATATTCCATTTGGCACATTTTAAAAGAAAGAAATGAAATTTGATATTTATCACAAGAATGAAAAATAGTGGCTAATATATCTGGGCCTATCTCTGTATTTTTATTTAAGTCAGAGAATTTATTTCTTCAGGGCTAGTAGGTGGTGTGGTGGTTAGGGGCGCTGGACTCCCACATGGCCGACCACAGTTCGAGTCCTAGATCTGGCTGCTTGCTTTCTCACACTTTCTCTCTCTCTCTCTTGCTCTTGCTCTGTCCCTCTCTGGTCAAATTCAAAAATAAAATATATAGGGGCTGGAAGGTGGTGTGGTGGTTAAGAGCACTGGGCTCCGACATGGCTGACCTAGCAGCTTGTTTTCTCTCTCTCTCTCTCACTCTGTTCCTCTCTCGTCAAATTAAAATAAATAAATAAATAATTAAATAAATAAAGTTAACTAAAATAATTCTTAAAAATTTAAAAAGTAAAGTTAAAGAAAATACTTCTTTAAAAAAAATTCATTCTTCTCCTAGTGGCTTATGAAGAAAAATATCAAGTGTGAAAAAGAAAGTGAGAGCTTGAAGCCAAAAATGATTCTCCTGTGAAAAATTGCCTGTATTGGACAGTTAGCAACGAGCAGGTTTTTAAATTGTGTCTCTCTTCACTTGACCTGATAAGCTTTCTCACTCACCTCCAACTCAGTTTGTAAGGTTTGCCATGCCTGCAATTGTGCACATGGGACTTCTGCTTGAATAGTTCTTTTAGTCATTATGCTGCATCAAAAATAAAAGAACTTATTTTTTCCTTAGCCACAGATCAAAAATGATTTGAAAAATTTACTTGAAAGTTGCGAAATCAAATGGCTTCACTGAGAAGAGACACAGTTCCTACAATCTGCATTGCTGACTTCTTCCTGCTCTCACCCCCTACTGCTAAGATACATTTGTTACATATGTGTGTATGCTTCATACATTGGTATGGTATGTGTGTAGTAAAAAGGAGTAACATTGGTTGAGTTAGTTCAATAAACAGGCATTTCAACTGATTTCAAAAGAGATTTCAGATTGACTCTTTTTCTGTGCCTGAAATTTAAATCCCTAGTCAAGAATCTTGTGGAAAAAAAAAAAAAATCTTCTTTTGTCCCTACATTTGTCTCCCTAAATATATTATTATACACTCACTAAATGCTTTCTGTGATCAGTGACTTTTCTAAGTACTCTCCTTGAATTCTTTTATTAGTCCTCTCAAGTATTTGAGGTAGGCAGAATTTTATCCTCAGTTTAATGGGAAACTATGTGTTAGAGCTAATTATTTGTCAGAAATCATACAGGTAGTGAGTATGGAACCCTTAATGGAATTCAGCATATCCGATTTCAGAACCTGCAGTTTTAACCACTTGCTCTTTGTTTTATTTCAGGCTATCTTGTCTTTCAGCCTGGCATGTTGTGAGTATTGCTGCTCAGCCTTTAACATCCGCAGGCACTGGAGCAGCATGTGATCCCTAGTCTCTAGTTTTCTTATTCCTTTGCCCGTGTGCTTGGGTAAAACATGCAATCTGCCAGACAATCTCTGTCAGACAGTCTGAAGAAAGCATCAAGGAAATAAGAAGTCTTACAAAACAGTACCAAAAATCCCCCCAGACTCATGAATAGTTTTCACATTGATTAACATACTTACTGATTTTCCTTTCAATATATTAACCATATTTGAAAAGTCAGAGCAAAAAGTTGTTCTAGGAATGAAGGAATGAAGGTGAATTCTAAATTTAGTGTGATTATAAATTTCCATTTACAACTGGCTTTTGCTCAGTTGAAATGAAATCCTCTTGATTTCATAGTGTATGGAAGGATTTTCTGACATGTTATGGTGTGAGGTAGGGAGATGAAATAGTTGTATCTTTTTATACTCTTATTAAAGGGTCTAAATTAAACTTAGAATCAGTGCAAACTGAAAACTTTGGCGTATCAACTAATGCTTTTGAAATAAGTTCCTTAAAATTAGATGTCAAGTAATTTTTAAATAAATAACATGTTCTTCTCAACAATGTTTATCCTTTTACTTGATGGCAGTAAGATATTTTCCTTTTTTTTTTTTTTTTTGGAGAGGTTTTTTGCTATAGGGCACGTGTGCTCGCCAGATAGAGAGAGACAGAGAGATAGAAAGCGAGAAATCACCCCCCTATGGGGGATGGCCATGCCACAATCCCTTCTCCTCCATTCTCCTCTCAGGATTTTAGGCATGCACGCACACGTGCCCGGCGTGAGTTTAAGCCACCAGGTCCGGGACATGAACTGTGGTCGACTAAGTGGGAACCCAGTGACATAACCATTACGCTAACTGCTGGTCCCTATATGTTATCTTGTTTTAATCACATTATCACTTTTTGTGAAAAGTCAGTACGATTGTTAATTTATGCATCTTATTCATTAGAAAGCTAGAGCTAATAGAAATTTAGTGAGGAGACAATCCCCAGAGTGAGAGAATATATTTGCAAACTATGCCTCAGACAAGGGACTGATAACCAGAATATTAGGGAACTCAAGCAGCTTACCCACATACAAAAAGCATATGAAAGCATAACTCAATATCTCTTATCATAAGGAAATGCAAATCAAACCCACTGTGAGGTACCAGTTAACACCAGCCAGAACACCCCAAATTAAAGAAAAATAAAGAAAGAATGATAAGTGCTGGTGAGGCTATGATGGAAAGGATGTAAATTACTGCAACCATTTTGGAGAACAATGTGGCAGTTCCTTAGAAACCTACCAATAGAACTACCAAACAAACTGGTAATTCTGCTCTTACGTATCTACACAAAGCACAGGAAAACCCTTAGTCAGAAAAACACTTACACATCCATGTTTATTGCAGCATTGTTACAATTGCCAGGACATTAAATGACTACAAATGCCTAAGAACACACAAGTGGATTTTAAAAATGTGGCACTTATACCTATGAAATGCTACTCAGCCATTACAAAAATATGAGACCCTGACAGTTGATAAGAAAGCAGACACATATGGGAGATTTAATGCTAAGTGAGGTAAACCAGATTATGAAAGACAGGAATTATATGCCCAACTCAACATATACAGAATGTCTGTATAGCAGAAATTATTAAAACAGGGAGGGTAACAGTAGATACTAGAGACAGGATGAGGGGTGCAAGGGGGTGGGTAAAAGGAGGTGGGGGAGGGGAGGTCAGGGAAGAAACAAAGACCGAGTTTAATAGACACAAAAATGAAAAGTTATCTGTTGATGATAATATATATGGTAATGTTTGTGACTTGACTTATATGTATTGTATTCATGCTGGGAAAAACCATGTTGTATCCTGTAAAGACATACAGTGATTAAATGTAAATTTAAAAATAAATGTTAGAAAGTTAAAAAGCAAAGTTTAAAAATTAATAGAAAAAATTTAGTAACTTGCCTAATGTAACTGGCAAGTGGTGGATCCAGGTTAAATCACAAAATTATGATATATAAATTCCACATTTTAAACCTGGCAAAATAAAATTTCCCTTTGACGTCTGTTTTTCAAACTTAGCATAAATGAAAAGATTTATTGTTCATTTTATTTTTGATTTAGGAAGCATTTGCCTTAAATTACAAAAGAGACCTTACATAGTAATGTGAAATGGTGAAGTTTATACCATTTTCCTCATTCTTTCTTTTATACTCCTCCCAGCAAGACTATTTCCCAACAAGAATATTTCTTGGTTTATATGTTCTATGCTGATATCCATGAGTTTTTGCAAAGGCAAAGTAATGAAATAATTATACATAATGTGTTGTGTTCTTGAATTATTGATGAGTCTTCCTTACAGCCAAAGAATAAACTTGTGAAATATCTGTCAT